TTGATATATATATGTGGTTTTAATGTTTTCCTGTTATTATATTTTTCACCATTTATAAACATCTTAGATAGCTATCGTATTTATAAGCAAGTTAGATAGCTATCGTTCATATAGATTTCTCTCGAAGAATAGATGGAACTAAAATTGACAACACAAACATATATATGGAGAATCTATATCAATATTCGAAACGAAAACAACATGGATGCGAGTAAAGTCTTGCATAAAGCAACACAAAAACCACTAATAAAGGTGGAGGTGGGTTCTCAAAAGTGAGAAGCAAATTAATGATCTAAAAACTGTGAAGCCATCCGCACACATGCAATCAACTAATGACACTTTAGATGCTATATAAGTGAGCAATCAGTAAAAACACTTGGTTAGAAAACGGTCGATGTAGATCCCCATATCACACGAAGAATAGTGGCTATTAATCACCAACTATTCACTTGTTTGCGTGGACGTGGAGATACCAAAACCGCCAGTTACAGGATACGTGTCATTGTAGGCACGGTTTCACTAGGTTTTATCGCTAACACGTACGTATACATTACTTCCGACTATAAAAACAAAATTGGAAACCCTCATACACTCAAGCCAAAACTTAGTGCCACTTTGTCTCATCACTTTCCGCACTTTATTCTTCATAACTTTAAATATATATAGTGATAATTATAAAGAGACAATGTCACCGGAGGAATACGTCAGGGTTTGGCCGGAAACAGGCGATCTTGGAGGAACTGAGCTGACTCTAGCTTTGCCCGGCACTCCGATAAAGGCACCAGACGGTCGACAAAAGTCCGGAAACAAACGTAGATTCCACGAGACCGTTGATTCGAAACTCGGGGAAGGCCACGTAAACAATTACCACACAAGCATCACTAAGTACGGCATATTATTTATTTAGTGTGACATGTATTTATTATACTTAACATGCATATGTTTCATCGGTCTCGGTGTGCGTTTTGTTACTTTTCTTTTTTATGTGGCCGATATTACTTCCAATAGTTTAAGTGACCGATTGGTGGGGTGGCCGCCGGTAAAGATAGCGAGGCGGAAATACGTGAAAGTGGCGGTGGACGGTGCGGCCTATCTAAGAAAAGTCGATCTCGAGATGTACGATTGCTACGGACAACTTTTGACCGCTCTTGAAAACATGTTTCAAGCTGTAATAACAATATGTAAGTGAACGACCGAGAGATTATAAGTTTGTTTTGATGGACTAAAGAACAGGAGGGTATTTTGGTAAATTGATTTTTTTACGGTGGTAGGTAAAGTGCCGGAGATGGAGAGAAAGAGAGTGCATGATGAGTTTACGGCTACTTACGAGGATAAGGACGGTGATTGGATGTTGGTCGGAGACGTGCCTTGGATGTGAGTTTCCGTAAATTACCCTTGTGAAATATATTTAGGCTATTATTACTATTCTTTCCATTTTAATCAAAGTAACATTTCTCTATATATGGGTGCATGTGGCTAATATATGTCTCTTGGGGTTGGTGATTTTTATGCAGGATGTTTGTGGAATCGTGCAAACGTATGCGTTTGATGAAAACCTTTGATGCTATTGGGTTAGGTACTAAATAACTCGCGTTTGATGAAAACCTTTGATGCTATTGGAGCATATAGTTGTGTCTAATATACTAACATTATAGATATTTGGTTGGTGCAGTTCCAAGGTGAAGCGAGCATTAATGTTTCTACTCTCCAAGCATCGGATCTTCCCAAGTCTATAACATTACTATCATAAATGCATGAATATAGTCAAGAGATACATACACATGTACTCCTAACTACTCCTCCCGTTTCTAAACGATAA